TCTCCTTACTTTCCGCCGCGCCCTCAAGACATGGCTTTTCCAGCAAGCGGGCCTGACCTAGGGAGGATTTTAGGTAGGGATGATTTTAAGAAAATTTTAATTGACACACAGCTTCGAATATTTGGCTTTTAATTTGGTTTTATGGGGGTTTTTTTGTTCTTTGATGTATTTTGTTTGTCTGTTTTAATATGCTGTGCACTGCCCTGAGTCCTACGGGAGAAGGGCGGTATATAAATTAAATTATTATTATTATTATTATTATTATTATTATCCAGGGGGGGGAAAAATCAAAATTATGATTTGTCTAATATACTTTTATTTGGTCAGGTCTTTGCAGGACTTTTGTCCTAAAAATAAAATCTAATACTACTAAAAATATAGCTACACAATAGCTATTTTTGTGGCTGTTGCAACAGCCAAATTTCCAGGTCTGAAATCCTATAACCTTGATTATGTCATGCCTATAATCCAAACATGGTCCACAGATAATATAAATGTTCAATTACAAATTATCAAAATCAGTAATATCTGCAGGTACCATTGTGATAATGGTGGGCACAATAAAATAACAGAAATTGGGAGCAAAGAACATGAAAGATTATTTAGACCTTTACGTGGCCATTTTAATTCTATTTCCTCAAAAGTGAAACACAAAGTCTAGAAACTTACTTTTATTTGCCTTACTTTTATTTAACAATGCAGGGCACTAAAGGTTAAATTTAAGCAAGCCATCATTTGGGACTATGCAGAGCTTCAAACTTACCCTGATCAATGATGCCCTCAGCAATGAATTTACATTCCCACCATTGATCATACCGCAATGGCCACCTGGGATAAAATAAAAATTGGAGTTATCAAGTGGGCTAGCTATTAATCAAAATATTAGAGCCAATTATGATGATGATTATATTAACAGCTGGACAACTTATGATAGAAATAGAACGACTGTGGCAAAAGAAAGCAAAAGTAATACCAATAGTAATAGACATATTGGGTGCAATCCCAAAACAATGGTGATGATGTTACCTAGCTTGGGTAATGAAATCTCTGCAAGAAAACAACCAGACTCAGACAGCACCAAGGATCCCTAATATCAGGTTTTCTCTATCCTTGAAAAATGACCTTTTGGTTTATTTGCAAATCCCAAAATAGTTATCATCCAGGTCTTTAAATTTCAGATCCCCAAAAACTTGAAATAGAAAAGGGCAAGGAAGAAAGACAAATGGTTCAAGGATCACCCACCTATAATCCAGTGGCTTCTCATACTTGTCAGAAGGTTTCAGTCCTTCATATACCTAGAAAGAGCAGAAAGTGCAGCTAAAGCTTTAACAGTGGAAGAAAATAAAGTTCATAATATCCAAATTGCAATCATGTGAGTGTGGAGCTGCTGTGATGGCCATAAGCACAAGGACTGGTCATAGCTATCACCGCGCTTGGGGGTTGGGCACCCCTGTCATAGAGGACAAAGAATTAAAATTCAATTATTTAATTGCATCACACATACAATACACAAATTTAATATTCCTGTAAAAGTTCTATTATAAATTGAAAGAGCCCAAAGTGATGCTTCCCAGTCTTGAAAAGGCTGCACCATAGTTGCTTGTTAGCTATGATATAAACATCAACAGCATTTCATTCTGGACCTTATATCAAGAGGATGGCGTAAAAAGACATTCTGAAGTACAGAAGGAAACTACTTCTCCGAGATAATATTTAGTGCAAGCTTTCCTACTCTGGTACTCTTTAGATGCGAGATCCCTACCTCCCAGAATATCAGGCGGCCTTTTGGGAATTATTATCGCAACACACCTGGAGGATCCCATAGTGGAGAAGGGCATGCTATTATATTGTTTCCCCTTACCTGGATGAAGACAGTGTTTTTACAGGAAGGGTCAAGGGCAGGATTGTCGCGATGCTCCATGGCTAGGCGCCGGTTGATGTAGAGACGCGGCATGAAGTTGGGCTTGCTGGTTTCAGAGTCCTTGAGGCACTGACTGATTAGCATTGTGCGTCGTTTGGACAGCAACAGAAACTGTTTGATATGCTGTCAGGGGATAACAATTGATTCAAAGAGGGCAATATCTAATGCACTTTCCCTCACTTTTCCAGCATCATGACCACCACCCAACTATTCTTGATATGTTGATAACTTAGTTCTTTTTCCTGCTAGAAACATTCTGATATAGGAAAATGTGTATTTAATGAACAGAGTCATTTCCATCTGTCATTAAAAATGATAATTAATTTATTGAAGATTTATGAGCAATCTTGTAGAAAAAGTTGCAATATTTGTTCCTGAATAAGGGCTTGTTAAATGAGGACTACCTGTGGATACCATAGAGGACAAAGAATTAAAATTCAGTTATTCCACTGAGTTTTAAGTTGCCATGTTAATTTAACTTCAGATATAAAAGGATCCCATTAGAATGATGAATAAAAAACTTTTTCTGAAGCTTGAAAAATGAACTTGAAAATGAAAAGAAAATACAACATGCATTTTCGTGTTAAAGTGAAGTTAGAGAGCCCTCCTTTTTAAAATGCTGGGCTTGCTTATATAACGGTTGAAGGAGAGTTCCCCAGCAACAACATCTGTACCTCTTCTCTGCTACATCATTTTCAACTCAGTTTCAAGGAACAGGATGGCAATATTAGCCTGTTTGATTGTCTCGTTAGGCAGGAGCAGAAACATTTATTCAACTGCTTCAGTTTTTTCCAAGTAAAGGCAGGTTTGGCTACTACAAAATGGTCACTGCTACTGCATTGATTGTGAAAAGAAAAAACAGATATTGATCCATTGGTAGGATTTTTAGTTACCTCACCTTTAGTTCATTGAAGGTGCAGAGTGTGTAGTCCCAGGCTGGTACAAGGTGATGAAGCACACTATCCAAGATCTTGATAAACCTATCACAACCAAAAGAAACAGCGCCAAAAATGTGGGAAAATATCTAAATGATGTACTGTGATGCATGATGGTGAGGGTACAATGTGATTCCATGCAGTAATGTAAATTAAACAATGTATGATTAGATTTATATTCCATTTGTCCACGAGGAGTTCAAGATAGCACTCTTTTCCTCCTGAAGTTTTCCTATGGATCCCTCTACCACTGAGCATTGTTTATCTCCTACCCAAACAAATTCTCTGAGCCTTTATAATTAAAAACATTTGCAAGGTAACCATGAAGACATGACCATGAAATGAAGAATAGCGATGAAAATGAAGAGAATTCACATGATCATAATACTTGGAAAGGCTAGTGGAAGAATGAGATGCTTCCTAGTTTATGGAAGTAAGCATTCAAATAAGCAGTGCTTCTGCATTGCAATCAAAGAGTTATAGTGTTCCTAGGTGTAATGGTATGTGGAGAAGACCTTGGGAGACTGGAGCAAAAGATGCTGCCTTGGGAATGGTCAGATAAGAGACAGCATAACCTTTAGCTAGATAGCAGGCTGGGCAAGCGGTTTAGAAGAAACTCTCCCTAATTTTTCCACCTGTAAAGGAGACAGTGGAAGAACTGTACTCTGAGACATTAATGTAACTTTACAATAAAGTAGACTTAGCTCATCCGGTCATGTTTTTTGTATCCTGTGCCTAATAAGACTGACATCGATCTTGCAAGTCTCAAAGTGCAATCCTTCTTCCCCCAATCTCCTTTACAGCCCAAGAAATTAGAGAGGGTCCAAAGAGCCTTCTGCCCTATCCAATATGCAGCTGCAGGCTATGCTATCTCTTATCTGACCATTTCCTAGGCAGTTTCTCTTGGCTCAGTCTCCCAAGGTTTTTCCCACATACTATTACACTAGAAGAAAACTGATAAACGCCTAGGATGGGATAGTGATAAAAAAGATCTTGATGCTTTTTAAATTAATTCAACTGCTTGCAGAGGCCTCTCACATATTTTCTTATTCCCACCCACAGTTGTGGAAATGTGGCTCATTAGACCTTCTTTCTTACCAATTTTTCTTAGCGTTCCTAACTAGCACTTCCATACCTCTGCAGGATCACAGCACGCCAATAAAGCACATCGGGGTCTCTCCCTTCCAGTCGTGGATACCTCACTAGGTTGGCTGGTTGAAACATGTCTGCATTGAGTCCCAATTCTCGTTGCCGAGAAGATTTGATCTTTATGCCCCGGAGCCGGACATCAATCCCGTCATCTGCATAAAAGGAAAGGACCATATGCAGCAAGCAAATAATTTAAATAAATAATTAATTCCTCTGTATAGAGAGAGAAGAAATTACTGTAGGGAAAAACTATGAAGCAGAAAAACGGCAGCTCAAGAAAATACATGTTTTTTCAGAAAGATATAGTTCTTTTTTTAAGAATGGACATGATTTGGATTTCAAGAGACTTAGCAACTTGATTTTCCAAAGTAGAGATTTTACCAAGAGAGGTTTTTGCAAACCATAATCCTATGAGCCTGGTTTATAAAAGAAAATCTAGTTCTTTCAGATGGACACTAAATGATGTTTTGCTACAGAAAGAATCTGTTGAATTTATGCTGGAAATGTGAACAATATGTAGTGACATTTTATCATATCCATGTAAGGTGGACATATAAAAAAAACAAACAATTCTGCACACAAATAAATACACTAATTCAGAAGATTTTAAACACTGATGTTCAATTGAAACCAGAGGCTTTTCTTTTAGGATTAATGGAGATAGCTAGAAAAAAGCTATGGAATTTTATTTTTATACATGACAACTGCAGCAAAATTATTATATGCTCAAAAATGGAAAGGTTTGACATTATCCACAATGGAGGAATGCTTGGTGAAGATGAATGGAACTTGCAAAGATGGCTAATTTGATTTCCTTAATTAGAGAAAAGACAATATCTACATGTATGGCTGACTAGAAACCCCTTATAGACTTTTTGCATGAAACAGAAAAAAGTGCACTTATAACTTGTGGTTTTGATGATTAGAAAAAAAAATAGATAATAGAAAAAAGTAAGCATTTTTGGAAACACAGAGCAAGAGAAACTTTGTAATCATATCCATATTTGCTGTAATGAAAATTGGAAGCTCCTATTTCTTTTTATCTTTTCTTTTACACTTGTGTCTTTTTCCTTTTGTCTGTTTTTCTTTCATTGTTTTCTTTATTCAGTATAAATTTGTGTAGTTTTTATGTTCCTTTTAAAACTACTCTATCTATCTATCTATCTATCTATCTATCTATCTATCTATCTATCTATCTATCTATCTATCTATCATCTATTTATCCATCATCATCATCATCATCATCAACAACAACAACAACATCATAATCATCATCATCATCATCTCCCTTAGTTTATTTGCTAACAGATAATGGGCTTTGCTGTTTTCCTCAAGAATAGAACCCATAACTGATGTCTTGGGAGAAGTAATAGGGAAACTGTTAAATGTGTCTCTCGTATACAGGTGGAATAAAATCCCAAACTAGAGTTTCAGAATTATCAAATGATCTTCCCAAGGATTAAAAATTTCATCTTCATACTGACACCTACACACCTCTGCATTCCACAATGCGGATTTCAATGACAGGCAAATGAGCAGTCATGTCTTCCAGCACACAAACATCCCCGATGTAGCTCCTAGGGACAAAAAACACACACATCTATTTCATCTTGCACATAGTAGTATAATCCTCCCCTCTGCCAAACCTTTAATTTTATGTATCTGAAAACTGGGGACAAGTTAGATTGGGTTGTGGATGGAAACTGGGACCCAAAGACTCCTAGTTCTTGTTCCAACTTCTGAATTGTGCAAATTGATCTGTCAAACTCCCACTGATGGGGGGGGGAGGGATGATGGAAATTTGACTCCTAAAGCAGTGTTGTCAGATAGGACATAAAGGAACTTGCCTACAGGTATTAGGCAACATGTTAAAAAAAATATACCGTAGATATTGCCTATATCTATTTATACATGACACTACCTTGTTAAATGAATCATCACGGTTCTAAAGTAAGACGTTGGGTGACTGAGACTTACCATTTTATGGCTGCATTCTCTATTAACTCTGCTTGTCAGGAACTAGTTGTTAAGCATGCAAATGGTGAGACATCCGGTTTTGCATGGTAGCGACCGGTTGTGGGCTTGCAGATTCTCCGTACCGCCGCAGCTAATTTTGCCCTGCTTGGGGACCCTAAATGGGTCTAAGTCGCCCCAGAGAGGTGATGAAGAAAGAAGGGTGCTCTAGCGATTCTGGAACAGCGCCAGCCGTTCCGTTCGATTTGGGGAAAGCCTTCTAACCCGACAGGAGAAAGGCTGGCCGTATTGCATCGACCAGCCCAAGTGACTAGCAACCGAACTCCAAAAGCACTAACCAGCACAACTGTGAACAGCGTGCCTGAAACTGGGTGAGGAATTTGATCTTCTCTTTTCTATTTTACATTTAATTTCCTGGAAAAGATCCCCAAGAAGCAAAATACCTCTGAAAGGGAAGGGGGAGGGATTTCCGCCCTACCCTTATACCAACAGAAGCAGCGAATTAATCTTTTTATGGATGATCAAAATATATGGAAGTGAAATAAATATAAAAACTGAAATTTAAAACTTAAATCTGGATAAATCTAAAATTGTTTGAATGGTTAAAACTCTCATTTTAAAGATAATTGTTCATTTTGGAAATTGAAAAACAAATAGTTGCTGACACCTAATGGTGGATGAAGACTATGACAACTATGACTTTAATATAAGACTTGACAAAACCTGGGAAAAGCTAATCTGTGTTTGTGACCTTCAAAATTTTAACAACAAAGAACAGCTGTGACAAAAAAAGACAATAATTTGGGCTGTAGACAAAGAGAGAATTATAAATTTCAGAAAAAAAATCTTTTTTGAACTATTTGGATTACAAATATCTATTTAATTGGGACTCTAAAACTATTTGCAGAGAAAAGAAAGGAAGAGAAAAACTCAAATTCTTGGCCATCATGGATCAGAGACATGCAGAAAGAACATATCAAGAAAACATAAATACTTCACAGGAGGAGATATATAGTATATTGCAACTAATTCAAACAACAATGACTTTAAACTACAAAGAAATTCAAAATAACTTTGAAAATATAAATCAATCTATTTCTAAGTTAACTCTACAACAAAAAAATTCCCAGAAAACAACAACAGAGAAGGAGCAGATAAAACAGATAAATGGATATAGAGTGGAGAATAGAGACTTAAAGATGGAACTTAACAAAACAAGGAAACATGATTTAATCCTAGTGGAAAAATATTCATAAGAATTGGAAAAAACAACCTATCCCTGCTTAAGACTACAAAATAAATCTGAGGACAAGAAAACAGATTGGATAAAATGGACTGTAGAGATGTCAGGAACATTGGAGAGAAAGAAAATGATAAGAGAAGCGGAGAGTAAGAAAAAGAAAAAGATTTTCAACAAATGTGAAAAGGCAGAAGCCCCATACAAAGACACTTCACCTGATTTACTTTTTATATCTACAGCAACATTTACGAACATACGGGAAAACTTTTTGATTCAGGGAAATACATTGATTAAGAAAGATACTGGGCAAAGGAAAAAAACTAAAGTGGAAACCAAGAAAATAGATGATGGGACTTACCAGAGAGAATACTTAAAAAAGAAACATTTGTTTGAATATGGTTAAAAAAATAGAAAAGTTTTGGAATATATATGTAATTCTAAGGGATGAATTCCCTAAATAATATAGTATGCTTTTTCCCATTTTTTGTTCTCTTTCTTGATATGAGTAATATAAAAAAGTTGAAATGACTTAGATAAAGGAAATGTTTTAGATACTTAATTGTGATTGAATTTAAGAAAATTATAATGGATTAAAAATGTTTTGAATAAGAGTTAAAGGACTAGATGACTAGATGTATTAAATAGAATGTTTAAAGATTAAATATATTTTTAATTATGGTTAAAAAGAATAAGAAATTTAGGAAATAAATATATATTAGCTTAGGAGGGATATATATTTTTAGTATGTTATTTTTATGTTTCTTTACTCTTGCTCTTTTCTTTTTTCCCATTGTTTTATCTATTCCTTAAGAAATGTAAAAGTGTGAGATGGTTCATATGGAAAAATAGAGTTAAATTTTTAAATGTAATTAATTTTTGAGAAAATCTTAACCAGTAAGAATACCTAGAATTTGGTGGGAGAAACAAACTAAAATAAGGATTGTAACAGGATCTATGATAAGGCAACCAGAATGACTGGATAGAAAAGAAATATTATATTGATGTGATTATTATTTTTAGGAATATTGGGAGAAAGTATATATTTAATTGTTATCTATCAAAACAATAAGAATTGTATTAACTCAATGTTTGCAAAAGAGCATATTTTGGGAAAAGAGGAAATCAACTAAAACCATTGTGTGGATTATGGATGATAGAAATCAATTGTTAATGATTGTTTTACAAATGTAACCCAGACAACACACTGTTCACCAATTATTAAGTGATTTATGTTTTAAAAAACCAATAAAATAAATTACAAAAAAAGCATGCAAATGGTGATCATGTGACCACAAAACACTGATAATCATAAATGTAAAGATTTATTGCAAAACTATTTTTTGTTATACCTTCGGAACTTGAACAGTTGCTAAATGAGGCAGCTGATAGGGGAGAATTACCTCTGCAATGTTTCTTTCTATAATTATGCTGATATTAATAATGCAGTCCTCTAGTTTTATTTGTATGCTAGGCATTAGGCAACAAGGAATTACACACCAGCAAATTGGCCAAAACTGGCTGGTCCCTATCTCTGTGAGCCCAGTATAGAAACCAAACAGATTGCCAAAGAAACAAGGACACCAGGGGTCCCCAACCTTGGCAACTTTAAGATTTTGTGGACTTCAAGTCCCAGAATTCCTCAGCCAGCATAGCTGGCCCCTGCTCTACACAACCTGACAATAGATCAGTCCACAGCAAAAGAGATAGAGTTCTTGCTTCTTACCCTGCTAATTCCAGGCAGGCTAATAAAAGCATCAAGCTAGTAATGATTTGTGGGCTTATTCATAATATTGTTTCCTGCCTTCATTCCCTGGGATATGATTGACCCCAATATCAACAATCAACAACTACCTATGAACCCTTATCACTTCACTGCAGCAATTGGACCATTAATTCCTTGTTTTGCAGCAGTATTTGATCAAGATAATACTCTTCGTTTTCTATTCTCCCCTTCTCATATCACAGGAAACGACAAGTTCCGGGCAATTATTAAACCACTTGAATAAAATTTAGCAGAATGGTTTCTTTCAGTTAGCCCCATCTCCCCCCACTGCCCTGACTCACTCATCAATGCCGACATCACTCAGTTTCTTCAGATTATCACCCTCACCGCCATATACAGCCACCCTTTTTGGCATGAAATTTTCATCTGTTGTATCCACAGTCAGAAAGAGTTTCCTGATGGAGAGATTTGAAACAACAAATGTGAGACAAAGCAAACGGGTATTAGGAAAACTTTCACATGCAAGAAAATTCTGTGAAGGCTGGGAAACTCACAAGGAGCTTTCTTTAAACAAAAAAACTCCTGCTGAAAACTTTCTCATTTATTAGAATTCCTGTCAATAAAGGATTGTTTGGCATGCTTACAAGCCATCACTGTAGATGTTTGGAAACATGAAGACGCTCTTGGCATCCATTCTTGCCACCCTCTCCTGCAATTTTTAAATCAGAGAAAATGTGAGGGAAAAGAGAAAGGGAGAACTGCCCACCTTAAAACAGTTCAATCAGATTCAGTGTTTTCTGAAAGACTATACTTGGGACTTTTTCAAATATTCTTCAAAAAAAGATTGAAAAAATAAGCCTATTCTGAATTGAGAAGAGAGGGTATATGCTTCATGATTCTGTGATTTACTTTGTGTCACTCTGAGCTTCAGGTCCTTGTCAATAGAAAAAGCCACTGGAGGAAGAGAAAGTGTTAATCTCTCTCTGACATAAAAAGGAAATGGGATTGTAGAACTGCACATTTTTTGATACAATCTAATATAGTGTCTTAGCCTTACATTTATACTGGAAGCAATTGAAAAGCCATAGTAATGGATAAGCTCTTAAGGTTATTGTGCAAGAAAATTAAGATGTTTTCCGTTATTAAACATTTCCCAATTTTTCTGAAAAAAGAATGCCTAAGCACAAATCAGGGCCAGACACACAAACCATATTTTTAAACCTTTCTTGCTGCTTGGTCTACATACAATGGAATACAGAAAATAATTGTTTTTCAGAAAGGCCAAATGAATTAGAGCAGGAATCTGTTTGCAAAGACTGATCCTAAATCACTTTGTATCTAATGACAGAGAAGAAAATCTTGCTATACAGAGTAAAAGCTAAGAAAGGGAGGAGCAGATTTAATTACTAACTTTATTATGGTTCCTTTTTTCATGTTGAGACGGACCCAGTGTTGGCCTTGGGATCCATCACTCTCCCAGTAGGTGTCATCGTGGTTGTCGGTCAAGAATGAAACATTGAATTCTTCCTAAAGAAGCAGAGCAGCACATTAGCACATTTGAACCAGCCCTTCTTATTCACACAGACATGTCCATGATGAATATGCTTCACTTGAGAAGCATTTCAATGAAGAACTGCATCTATTAACCTGCTCAGACCTCATTTGGAGTACCATATCCAACAAATTGGAGTAAGTTAAGAAAAGGTGTAAGTTCAGGAGAGCAAGCTCTCAGAAGAACGGTGTGTGTGTGTATAGAGATACAAATAAGAAGTGGAGTTATTTTCTCTTATTCCAGAGGACAAGAACTAATTGGTTAAAACAGGAAATAGATTCATGCTACAGCTTAGCAGGAACTTTCAGTCCAGTCTCTTCTTAAAGTCTTCCAGTGTTGGAGCATTCACCGCTTCTGAAGGCAGTGGAACAACTTGCCTCCAGAAGCGGTGAAGTCTTTAAGAAGAGACTGGACAGCCATTTGTCTGAAATGGTATAGGGTTTCCTGCCTGAGCAAAGGGTTGGACTAGATGACCTCTAAGGTCCCTTCCAACTTTATTATTATTAGTTTAGTTTGTACAAGGTGTCAGCCAGAGATGCTCTAGTCTAGCAGAATCTGCACTGAATGAGGTGGGATGTGTGTGGAGTAGATTATCCCTGAGGTCATCACATTTCTATGTATCTAATCCTTTACAAAGACTAAAAAAGGGAGTTCCAAAGTCAGAGGCAGGTAAACGACATGTGAAAGTGCTGGCTTGTAGTATTATCTTCTGTCAACATGGCCACACTGGCTAAGAATAATGGAAGCCCAGCATTACTGAAGAGCACCAGTCTGAAGAATAATGGTTATTCTAAAACTAAAATAATGGTACTTTTATTGTGAGCTGAGCTGGGTAAGCAGACAATGCCTCTCATCCTTCATCATCAACAGTGAAAGTTGCAGGAACAATTTACAGACTATATGTATAGACAATCCTTAGATTTTGCTTATCAACTACAAATTCATAATCTTTGATAATAAGTTGCAGATGATATTCTGAGGAAGAGTTTCCTCCACAAAGAGATCCAATCCACTGATAATATTATACCGTGTAAGAGGAGACATCGATGCTGTCCACATATTGCTTGATACTACCCAGATTCTCATCCTCCTTGCCAATATGGTCATAAAGGAAATGCACCAGATCTTCGTCACATTCATAGGTCCATGTGGGTGGTACAAATCTACAAAGCAGTGATGGTAGTCAGTAGCACAGAAGGAGAACTGAGGTGGATAGTCAGAAACTGTATTCTATTTATTCCTCCATTCTTAGTCGTATTTTTCATTTCCTCATCCCATAATACATGTTATTTCAGTCAGCTTTATACCAAAGAACTGTTTCCACTGATGGTGGATGATGAAGCCTAACTCAACTCCAAAGGCTGAATTACTATTTCCAAAGTAATGGCACTGGCTACCCCAAGCAATCAGTAACCTCCCCCCCAAATAAAATGAAATTACCGGAGTCTCTCTACTGCAGCCACATCTGGCTCCATGATTTTTGGCTTTGCTCCAAGATGCAAGGAATATGTTAAATCCACTACCTGTTCCCATCTGGAGTAAAACAAAATTGCAATAAAAACCATAAACTTCAAGTCCAGGTTAGAGAAACTGATTGGCTTCTATGAAAAGTTCTAAGAACAAATCAAAGGACCAATATTCTACCTATCTGTGGAAAGTGCAACAACATTACATTTCTAATCTATTTTGTTATACAAACAAATTTATCAGATCAATTAATCAACAAAGGTGAAACATTTTTTATAGACAAATGATTCACTAACTACAATTCAGCAAATGGTATTTAAAAAAATGGGCATACCTACATATTTTAGAAAAATTTAGCCCCTCTCCAGAATCTTCCTTTGGTGCCACACATTTTCTTCTGAGAATGCTCTGACAATCAGAGGTTCATGGATAAATAAAATATATTTTGCTTACAGTCACATTTGTAGCATCCTCCACAATGACTCCTCCAAAGCCAACCAAGCAGAAGTGAGATTCTGTACCTGATTACTGGTTTAAAATCCATCCCAAAGAGCTGCTGCTGCCTCTGAATCCTCTCCATTGATTCCACTGGCACCAGCCTGTCCCCGCTATCTGCATGCTTACACGTAAGAACCCAACCTTCTTCCAGGTCACAACCAGTCTTGTATTCCTGAAGTTGTTCCTATGTGGACAGAACACAAAGTTGCATGAGCAATAAAATCTAAGTTGGTCAAAAAGAGGTTTCATTACCAAAGTACAAATATATAGAGTTTAAATATGCAAGAGCTTTGCACTGTTTATTTGGACCACTAAATGTGCAGCAGCAATGAAATCCTTATTTAAATTCAACTTGTATCTTTGTGATTCATAAATATGTCTGTACCAGTTCCAGAGTCAATGAAATACAGGGAATAAGATGGTGAACTAGAGCTAAGAGCCATCCAGAACTGTGTGGTTTTGAGCTAATCATTTTCTCTCAGCCCAATTTAACTCAAGAGAGTTAGTATAGTGGGGCTAAAACAAAGAGATATTTCTTTGCTCTCAGGTCCTGAAGAAAAAAATAAAATAAAATAAAATAAAATAAAATAATAAAATAAAATAAATAAAATAAAAAAACAAAACAAAACAAAACAAAACAAAACAATAAAATAAAATAAAATAAAATAAATAGCAAGCTTCACTATTCCTGTTCATTCCCATTTTTGGAAGAAACCAAAGATGTATACAAATAAAAAGGTATATTTACAGCAATATACAAAATGTTATCTTATACAACAAACTGTATGGAATTGGTAATTTGATTGATTATAAAAGTTTTTACATGGATGTTCAGAATTTGGCATATATTTGTAAGACTGATCAGACTAATCCTACAGCCTTGGGTTTCCTAGCCCATAAGCTCATAAGCTTTCAAGGGCTATGAAGTGAAGCCTCTAGTTCAGGGGTAGGCAACCTTGGCTCTTTTATGACGCGTGGACTTCAACTCCCAGAATTCCTGAGCCAGCTTGGCTCAGGAATTCTGGGAGTTGACGTCCACGCGTCATAAAAGAGCCAAGGTTGCCTACCCCTGCTCTAGTTTGACATCTGACAGTTCATGCACTTCTTTTATAGTCTGTTCCAAGTTTAGAACTAACCATTGTTTCCTGCAACTCTAACACTGACAGACTTATAGCAGGTGGTTGCACCTGGTTGGCTGCAAGTGATCTGTAAAATGCTAAGCAAGGTAGGGAGACCAGGAAACCCAAGGCTACAGGATGGAGTGGGAATTTGCAGAGGGAGGGGGAGAAATCATGCTGAAAGAAGTCAGTGGTAAACCACATCTATTAAGAAACTACAAGGTATACCCATGGAATCATTAGGAGGCAAACTTGGCAAAAATGGGAAATCTGAGCTCCCACCCCCCACTCAGCATTTATATGACTGATTTACATGGGTGCCAGACAGCCACAAATGGAAAGGAATAAAATGGGATGAATGGGAATCTTCACCTCTATCTCAATCATATATGCATTAAGCCCCTTCTTTTTTATTTTCTAATTTGAAGTGCAGCTCAGCCCTGGCACGCTTCAAATAATAACTCTGGAGTGCCTCTGATCATACTCAGTATGCAGCCCAGCCTCTCTAGAGAAATTTTCTGATTTAGGTATCAGGATCCACCCGGAACTAACACAGGATCTAAATGGTTTAGACCCGCCAGGGTTTCGCTCAGTTTCTTCGGATTAGCCTCCAGGGCCAAAGGGCGCGCGAGAGAGCCACGCCTTGTCCCTCACCCTGGTGAGCTTCACCCAGAGCCCGTGCCCGTTGCAGTATTCCTCGCCGCTGGCTCGAATACACGATCCCTTGCGCACTTCGATGGTGGCCCTGCCAGGATTTTTCCTGATGCCGGGACCCGCACCGCCCGCAGCTTTGCTTGGGCTCTCCCACACGGACAGTAGGCTCCGGCCCGAGGCGGAGGCGGACGCCTGGGCGCTGGGATCCTTGCACAGCTTGTACTGCACTTCGTGGGGCACGTAGCCCAAAGCGGCGGGCAGCGGCTCCGCCCGGATCAGGCACCCGATCGCCTCGCTCAGGAAGCGCAGCCGGCCCAGCAGCAGGTGCGGAGACTCGCTGTCAGTCGAGGGAACCATCCTGCTTGTCTCGGGCGGACGGGAGCTGCGGCGGCCGCTCCACCGGTTCTCTCCTCTCCTTCCCTGCCGCAGCCGGCGAAAGCTCAACGGCGGTCAGGAGGAGGCAACCGAGATCGCTTCCTACTTCCTCCGCCGCCTCGATTCCGGCTGCTCTACCGTAAAGCATCCTCTATCGGCGGAAAGTAAATCGGGGCCGTCGCGATGAAGAGATTTTGCGAGGCTGCGGCGTGGGAATGGCTCAGTTAGCTAGTGAGCGGCTAATTGATTTAGCACATCAATCAATTAAGATCTGCTTATTTTTTTGGCTGCCTCATACTTTTTGCCCACCAAATAGGTTAGGGTTAAGGTTAGGGTTAGGTTATCGATCGATGATTGACAGTTACCTCTACGAATGTAGGTGCCCAATCGGGCGTTGCACCGATTGATTACGTCTGCGGGAAGCAAAAACTTTTTGGGCAGATGTTAATACTACTGGCAGACAAAAGGGTTCCTCCATTGAGGCTTCGGTCCAAAGGTTGGAAAAGAAAGGCCCTTTATTGGATAACGCGACTGTCCACGTTTCAGTTTATTTTTTTTAATAAGAATACAGTAGAAAACGGAAAAAAACAAGTATCTCTGGTGTTTAAAACAGCAAGACAGACGGCAAAACTTTAACTTGTCTAGGAAAAATGTGTATTTATTTTATTGATGTCTGGATTTATTTTATTTTTTTTTGAAAGAACACAAGATGATTTACCTGGGATTCTTCCCTAATTTTCTCTCCATAATTCTGGGAAGTAGCATTGGGCTGAATGCCCACCCTAAAGCCTATAGTCAAGTGGATTTGAACCTGAATCTTCCTAGGCAAATCCAGCCACCACACTATGTGAAGAGGCTTAACTCGTTAAGGTTAAAATTCCCAGGATTCCTCTGGGGATACCCAACTCCCACCTTGAGGGTGACCAATTGAGAAGGGCGGTCTGTGGATCGATCTAATCCATCCAGTTTGGTCTACCCAGATGGGCGGAGCAATGTAGGGAGGAATGGTCTCACTTTTCACCACTGTCTTTTAGAGTTTCACTTCAGGGTTTAATTGGAGGGATCACAGAGTGGGAGAGACAGGCCATCTTCTGAGCTGGTAATGCTGAAATAGTGGTGGGTGGCACTGCTTCTGAGAGGTTGGATTCAAAGTAGAACTTAACAGCTGGAAGTAAAAGACAATATGACTTCCCACGGGCATTCCAGGTATAGAAACTGGCTTGCTTGATGCTTGCATTTTATATATGTACTGATACTGTATGTATTTTGTTTGTTTTTTAATCTAGTTATATCCAGTTACAATCCAATAGAACTCTTATAACTCTATGACATATAGATAATGTCTGAGACACTCAGAAAGCATTATATATAAAAACAACCACAATAAATAACAAAGAACAATTTAAAAAATGATGAATGATACCTTAAATGAATTTTGTAGTTATGTTAATGCCATATAAGATCCTTTGCTGCATTATATCTGTGGGCAATTTATTAGTTTTTGGCATACAGAATGGGCTATTCTTCTCTTCTATCCCCATTCTGTCCTCCAATGCCTTTTTCTGTTCCTTTGACTTAGTCTGACTTATGGAAAGACTGAGGTCTGAGGAATTACATGTACATCACTCTGGCTGTATCCTTATGACGCATTAAGCCAGGATATTACCTGAGCTTATTGGATAAATCACAATCAGCTGGATTCAGACAGTTTTCCAACCTGTAAGGATAGATTATACTGGATGGATTCCATTTTGGGTTAATGTAGTTTCTGAATCCAGCCCATGCTTTCCTAATCTAGTGTATCAGTGATTATCATGCTAATTCTGTCATCTCTGCCTCTTCGCTCCCAGAATCAAGCATCATTTTCTCACTGTCTGTTTTCTTAATAACATTCTAGGACAGGGGTAGGCAACCTTGGCTCTTTTATGACTCGTGGACTGGCTCAGGAATTCTGGGAGTTGAAGTCCACGAATCATAAAAGAGCCAAGGTTGCCTACCCCTGTTCTAGGATTATTGAAAGAAGTATCTCTCTTAATCTGAGGTACTTGAAATTTCAGCAAGCAGTTTGCTTTGAAGAAAGCCCAGGACCATATTTCCTGTGGATTAGAGACCTAATATCCTGCCTTTTATTCATTGGATCAACCCACTAGCCTAGTTAGTTTAGTACTTTTGTTTGGTTGATTTAGATTTTTCCCACTGCCTTTATATAAATGCCAAGAATTGAACTGAGACATTGTAGAAACCAATAGTGTGCCACTGAACTACAACTCTTACAGGAGAATTATTTTCTCAAATGTAAGTTGAGTATGTAAATGTAAGTTACTTAGTCAAAGGGAGAAAAACTTTAGAGAGAGATGGTTATCTGTTAAAGGTATATGGATCTAACTTTCCTTGATGCCTCTAAAAGTAAATATGGGAGTCATTCATTTTTAGCACTTATGTTGGAATCAGTTTAGGGCTTCATCCAAGAGGAAGAATATAACATAGCTTTTTCAAGGCACTTCCAAACAGATGAAGACGCAAACTATGTCATTAGATTAAATGTTATTGTTTTCTTGATATCCTGGTTTTGGGTGGCATGGAAGGAGAAACAATGGTAGGATTTTTACACATCAGGTAATAAAATAGCTTGACCAAACATGGATGCGATATACCGTGATGTGACAACAGTGAAGGGGAAATTTACCACTTTACCTGAGGCAGCAAAATGCCTTGGCTAATGCTGGTGATGGCTAAAGTCTTAAGCTCAAGTCTGTTTGCTTACATTAGAAATCAATTTTATTCTGTGTTGCATCTGACTGTGCAATATATTGCTAATTATGCATATGTTTATTAATTATATTATCATTACATGTTTGGTAATTAAGTATTTAGGGATTTTATAAGTTCTGAGCTCCAAATTGTGTGCTGTCTTCCTATATTAACCGTCAAAGGCCACCTCTGCTTCAAGCTGATAAAAAAACATGTGTGACTCTTCTACAGATACACCATGCACTCTGCTTGCAGATAAAAATGGCCTTAACCACAGCACCATTCAGAATCCTATAGATAAAAACCTGTGGTGTTGTCAAAGCCAGTTTTATCAGTTTCTTTGTTTCAACCTTTTTTGGGGGCGGGAGAATCCACAGCGCATTGAAAATATGGTATATTGTACACTTCATTTCCAAGTACTCAGTTTTACATGACTAAAACAGCAGTATGTGTATATAATAATAATAATGATGATGATAATGATAATGATGTCAGAAGGGACTTTGGAGGTCATCTAGTCCAACCCCCTGCTCAGGCAGGAAATCCTATACCATTTCAGACAAATGGCTGTCCAGTCTCTTCTTAAAAACTTCCAGTGTTGGAGCATTCACTGCTTCTGGAGCCAGGTTGTTCCACTGATTAATTGTTCTAACTGTCGGGAAATTTTGCCTTAGTTCTAGATTGCTTCTCTCTTTGGTTAGTTTCCATCGGTTGCTTCTTGTCCTGCCTTATGTTTAGGATCATTTCAACCCTTGGAGAATTTTAAAGCAGAAATGGAGGGATCTCTAAAAATTAAAAATGACAAAAAAAGGAGTTGAACATTTTTTCTCAATAGCATACTATTTCTTCTTTTATGCACACAGCCTGACCGTTTGCTGTCATGCTAGAGCTGCAGAAATCCAGGTAACCATTTGATGGTAGCAAAGAGCTGCAATACTGTTGTTTGCTGCTCACAAATTATAATTTAATGAATTGATTGGCCTAAAACTTAACCCTGGGTGGAGAGGTATACTGAGCTAGTAAGTTATGGATTAGTTTTCATAAAATATTGATAAGTTTTTTTTCTAATCCTATTACAAAAGTGCATAATCAGATTCATACAGCATTGTTATATAAAGTTGCAAGTTCAGTTCTTGATACAACCCCTTGGAGAGCTTTTTTCAAACTAGCAGATCCGATTTGAAAAAATACGGACAATTGTGAAATGACTGCAAAGAGAATCAAGTTTTATACAGTCCAGATCTGGTACCGAAATTTTACATGTATTTTTAGGGAGCCTTAGGTTTGGGAATTCTGGATGATCTGATGCAGAATTCAGTCAGGTTCTACCACATAGAGACCGTGGGTGTGTTTCTAGTTGCTATGATTAGATTGAATCTACAAGTTTCTTGATACATATGCAATATTTGTTCTTAGCTTGTTCTTAACAAGATGCATTAGTCAATCTGTCATATGAGTGTTGCAACTAGCTATTAAATCACAGGCCCTGATAAACTTGCTTCTTTAAGAACATGTAAACTGTAATTGTGTGCATGCTCATCTGGAAGAAAGCTTCGCGGACTTCAAGAGGATCCGTTCTGAGTAAACATAACATTTAGTTATTTGAAAATTATACTGTCACACACCTAACCCCATCAAAAAAACATGAACAAATAAATGATGGCTTATTAAGTTAACATGATTTTAGCTGAATGTTAATCGAGTTCAAACTTATGGTTTCAGCGTCATGCAAATAGACTCCCGCAGTGTTTCTCAACCTTGACAATTTTAAGGCATGTGGACTTCAACTCCCAGAATTCCACAGCCAGCAATGCTGGCTGTGGAATTCTGGGAGTTGAAGTCCACATGCCTTAAAATTGTCAAGGTTGAGAAACACTGATTAGCCTTCTTCGGTTTTGCTCTCTCTCTCTCTCTTTTTTTTTTTTTTTTTTTTTTACCTCGGAGCTACTATAGCAATCATTACGGTAATGGTGCCCCGCTCTTCTGACACAAACCTTGGGCGGTCCCCACAAGCACCAATTAGGGCAGCCGGGAAAAGAATCCGGAAGTCTAGAGGAGGGGTGCTTTTTTTTTCTTTTCCTTCGGGTAGGCAGCAGGGCGGGAAAAAGACACGCACCGCCGCGTAGAGGGCAAGATGGAAAAGAATGGGATGGTCGTGTGAGTAGCGGCTGCGGAGACAAAACGGAGAGATCGAATAATAGCATTTCTCTTTTCTGCTCGTCTAGATTACGGGACTACATTTCCCATAGTTCCCAAATCTCGCGGTCATCAACTAAAGACCGGCAGAATTTTGGGAATTGTAGTGTAACTGGCAATGCACCAAGGTGGGGAAGGCTGCCGTGGGTTCGGTCGGAGGGTGTTGGCGTAGAGCAAATTAGGGAGCGGTGTCCGAACGCGTCCGGCATGAATTGGGCTGCATGGGGACGAGGCCCAAGAGTGGAGAACTCTGCTTCTCAGAGGCACCGGGTTATGCTCCAAGACATGGAGGTTTTTTTTTCCTTCCAACCCATATGGCAAAGTCATTAGGTCTTCAGGGGGTGCAGCAGGTGGCTTCACGTGCCGACCTGCTCCCCAAGATCGAAGGCCAGGAAAAGGAGACCACTTACTGAGAAATCTAGTGGTCTGCAGCCCTGGTGTGTTAGTACTTAGTTTGAGCACACAAGGGCGAGCAGCAGCCAGGGAGAAACTCCCATTCCGTCCTGAGCTGGATAGCACTGTGTCAAGAATGATAGGCAGGAACTTTATTAAAGGAGCTAATTCTCCTTCGCCTTTCTTCCTCTTAATGTGTGAATAGATACTACCGGCAGGAGAGATATTCTGTTTTAGTAGTCGTTTTTGTTCTGCGGTAGAAAAATCAGGGGGCTCAAATGTCTCATTTGTCCCCTTTTTGAGATAATCTGTGGGTGTGGGAAGCACACGGTATTCTGAGAATCTCTCTTTCTCTTCAATTGTTCCTTAGTTCAAGGAAGGCAAAGCTGTATGTAACCTTCCAGATGTGATTGGGATCTAGTTGCTGTCTGCCCCAGTTGGCATGGCCTATGGTCAGGGGACATGAGGAATTGCAATTCGTAACATCTGGAACATTACACGCCCCGCCCTCCTTTTCTATGTTATTTTTCTTCAGAAATAGAAATGCGACAAGAATTGAAAATATTATGTAATCATTTTGTAATATATATGGTGGCATGAAATTAAGTTCTCAGTATTTATTTTCAAAGTGGGATGATAGGATTGGACTGTAAAGGTGATATTTCGAAATAGTTTTCAGATAAGAACATTTTGCAATTAAAAAGTACAGGTACACAGTCCAGTTCAATTTGAGGTCCAAAGGGACCTTTATAAAGTTCCAGTTTTGCTATCATTGTTAATGCATGATCCTGGGCCTACAGCGTGAATTTATCTACTGTATCTTATACCTCTTTAGAGAGAATGGCTTTCCCCAGCCCTTTCCTTCCCAATTTGTATTGGTACTTCAGCTCACGGACTTTGGAACCAAAATGGCTGGAATTCTGAAAGTCACAGCTGTCCTTGAGCCTAGTACTTGTTTTTTATTTTTTTGCATTTTTAAGGGAAGTACATTAGGAGGAAATGATTACTTGAAAAAAAAATTATACATTTTTCTGGAAGTAGTTGAATTAGCTGATGGCATTCGTGATCGAATAGGAATTAATTTTGGGATAGTATGTTAAAGTGTGGGTCAGTACAATTTTACATATCTCAGGGAAAGGGAATGTAAAAATGTACAGTTTTTTCTTGTGATATATGGACCATTGAAGTTAGAACCTTATGAACACTTACCTGGGAATAAGCCCCTGGAATTTAGGGTAAGTTCTTTCAGAATCACCCTGCATTTAAAACATTAATATCCTAGATTTCTTGTGGTTGTTCTCTGCTTGACCAATAATGTTGACAGTATAAGCAGGTAATCAAGTTAACTGCTACTCTACATTATGGATAATGCAAAAAAGATTTGTGTTAAGTTAGAAAAAACATTGTTATTCTGTGACGGTAGCATAGGGACTAGGGGACACTTGAGATCTGTAGCTGCTTCTGGATAAACTCTTAAGCATGTGTAATCCTATACTGTTATGTCTCTTTGACAGCTGAGGTGAATTAACTTTAGCTCTGCTATGATGTAAGAGAAACTGCTCTGACGCTAGCTTTCAAAGGGCTAGAGTTCAGAGTTTTTGGAGGATGTGTTTTCTCCATTACAGGAATCTCTTCTCTCATCCCAAACCCTAAACTCCAGCACCCCAACAGATTCTGCAAGGAGAATGCTGACTTGACAGCTCTGCATCTCTGCCTCAGAACCCCAGGCAAAGGGAGCCAAGGTTTATATTGTATTGTCAGACTTCAAACAGCTTTCCATTTCTGTTACCAAGGCACCATCCCTTTCAAAGACAAGCTACTAAGTTTTTGAATTTATTTTCATTCTGTTTGCAGGAATTATTTTTGTGGGGGGGTGGGGGTATATTTGGTTGGTGCAGATCGTTCAGACAGATGCTTAGAATGGGGTAATGATTTTAATTTCTTATTCTGTTTCTGAGTCAGTAAATGAAGATGATTATGGATTGTTTTTGAACTGATGAGGAGAAATAGTAGCATAGTGGAAGGGCTTTAGAATAGGTTATATAATTTATTCCTCATTCAATACAAGTGTTTGTTTCTGGTACTGATAACCAGTGACAGTTCATAGGATAGTTTGGTGTATACGTGTGTGGGGTGATTTTCTAGTTTGAAACATTGGATTTTATAATTAATATAAGGAAATGACATAAAAGAAATAAACAGGAATCGAGCTGAGAAGAGAAACTGCTAGTAAACACCTTTATTGGGAGGGGGGGTCAAGTTGCAAAATTTAATTATGGTTCAGCTGCCACATACTTCCTGTCATCTGTTTTATGTTACTTGAGAAACAGAAAAACCTGCTTTCATTTGAGAACCGTTTACATAACTGCATATACAAAACCCAAGACTGGGTTTAGAAGCATTTGGATATATCTCCATAGGAAATGAGGATGCTACATTCAGAACTTGCAGTTTGCATGTAAGAGTAAAGCTTATTTTATAACTTTTATTTAGGAATCAGAACTAAGAATATTTCCGAAAATCTTCAGAATGCTTTCCTTTTGCAATTGAGGCAATAATCACTTCCAGAAAAACAACCAACACCTGATATTTTTTTTATTTAAAAGATTAGCCATTGAGAGGGAGGTCTCATTTATTTTCAGCTTTCTGCCCTCCCGTTGGAAAGAAATTATGTAAAGGACATCAGGATTTTATCTGTTTGGCCCTCACTAGGAATACTTCTCAGAAAATGGAACAGAATGGAACTTAATTTGATATCTGACTAGACCACTCCATGCCCATTGGGTCATCATTCCAGAGATATTACCTTACCTAAACAGAGAAACGGAATGACTGTGGGAAGGCAAAAAAGCAGTCTAAACAGGAGCGACTTCCAATTTCCTGTTGCTTCCCCATTAAATTTCCTTGTGGGAAACTGGCAAGGAGCATCAGAAATCCTCCTTTCCTTCCTTCCCTCCCTCCCTACCATTCTGTTATTATCTTCCTCCCTTCCTCTGTAGAATTCCTATTGGCTTCCTATTTTCTTTGTTTGTGGAAAGCTTACAGGGAGAAGGTCAGCGAGGAAGCCAGAAGGCAGCTAAGTAGTTGCTGCTGGGAGGGGGAGAGAGAGCAAGGAGGTGCATGTAGATACGAGTTAGGAATGATATCTGGGGATGCGTAAGAGGTACTATGTGGTTTGGGAAGGATATGTGGATGTGCATCAGAGATGCCATGAGAGTAAAGGAGGTTGTGCAGATGGTGATGTAGGTTGGAAAGGGTGCCCGAGGTGCCTGAGGTTAAGTAGGATGCATGGCCAAGGGGGGGGGGGAGTGTGGACGAACAAGGATGTGGAGGTCACGGGTGTAAGAGGGGCTGCGTGGTTCAAGTAGAGTATGCAGAGGACAATGTGGCTCAAGAAGAGTGCATGGGGGGTCACAAGGGCGTATGAGAGATGCTGCACTGGTAGGGGATGGTTCACAGGAAGAATGTGGATTGGGAAGGGTATCAAGGAGTAGTGGGAGCCCAAGAGGTGCTGTGCAGGTCAGGGATGGCATGCAGGGGAAGCAGCCTGGGTGTATGGGGATTCCCAAAAGATGCTGCCTGGGTCAGGAAGGTGTGCCAGAGGGGCATGGATTGGAGAGGGGGCATGACCATGCACAAGAGGTGCCATGTGGATCAGGGATGACACATGGGGGACAATGCATGTCAGGAAAGGTGCATTGGGGTACAAGACATGCCATGTGTGTCAAGGAAGATGCACGGGGGCAGCATGGGTCAGGGAGTGCATGAGGTTGCATAACAGGCGCTGCATGGGTTGGGGAAAACGTGTGGGGTTGGGAAGGTATGCGGGGCTATAAACACAGGTCGGGAGAGCATGCAGAGGGGGTGGGGGCAGGTGGGGCAAGATGGGCTGCACAGGGATTCCTTCCTCTCTTCCCTTCCCATCCCTTCCCCTCCCAGAAGCCAGATAATTTGCTGCTGGGTGGGGAGGGAGCAAAGTATTATGAGACTGACTGAGAAACTGTAAAAGAAATTTGAAAATAAAGATCATGTGACGGGTGCAGCAGCCAATAGCACTGAAGCATCTTTCCCACATTTCATTCCCTTGGGTCATGGATCTTGGATTTTGAACATATTCTGTAAGTTAGCCCATTAGAGGTACCTTGGTCCAAAAACCATTGCCCTATAATGCACCATTTCAGCCAGTTAAAGATCATAACAATGAAAGTTTTATTAATATATAGATAGATATCTGGGGAGAAGCTGACAGTAGAGGTAGCAAGCCTGAAAATGGATCAGAAGAAGCTGCAGAACTGCAGAGGAAAAAAGTGCAGAAAAAATTATAATGCGAATCTATGCCACCTCCATTTTAACTCTGCATTCCTTATGTCTTGTGCTTCCCTGGGTACACATATGGATAAATAATACACACATGTACAACGTAAGGGGAGATCACACAGATATAATGCAGTCTGCCTGTGCACTCACTCAATTATGGCTCTCTAGGCATGTGTGTATCTATGTGTTCATTCAACCTGCTTAGTGCCTGGGGAGAGAGTGCACCCAGTACACCACATTATTATATGGGAGGAAACACAGAAGCTTCCTAAGGCTGCTTACGGGGCTAGAGGGATTGGAAAGAATTCCAGAAGCTATGAATACCTTGCCTATTTATTCCAACCCTTTGGAATATTGGAAAGAAATGTGAATAGGTTGGGACTCTGCCTGTCTGTCTGTCAGCAGGATAACAGTCTGGGAAGAGAACAAAATGGGTCCAAAAAGGCTGTAGGCACAGACACTGTGAGAAAAAATGATCAAGATCAAAATGAGCTGGGCCCAGCCAGGAGCACATAGAAAAAAAAATCCTGAACAAATTTCCACAGTGCATCCCTAAGGGGCACGGCTTTGAATGTTGACAGTTCTCTATTCTAAGCAGCCTTCCTGCTCTCTTCTCTCTTACACACAATTATGTGCCCCAGAGTGGAACATATGGCACCCACTCTCCTCCCAGTGCGCAGACACCACGGGACAGGAACAAAAATGCTTATACACAAATGCAGCATGTTACTTCAGTACGGATGCCTCCCATTGGTAAAGAGCTTGGAAAGATTTCCCAAAGTGACATTTGACGTTGTTTTCCTTTTGCAATCAACTGTCACAATATTTATGGCAGAAACCATTAGCTTTTACTGCATCCTTAATCCAGGGGGGAATTTAAAGATATTATTCGATTTTCTCTGTACAGATGCAGAATTTCCACTCTTACAATTCCTAGACTAAGGAAGGCTATAGAATTTATATTGAGAAATAACCATTTAATGCCATCAGTTATAGTGATCTGGAAAATCCAAAGTCTCCGTCTTCTATGTTCATATTGCTTTTTGTTTTCCTCTGATTAGTCCTACAGGGTTTCCTGAACTGAAAAATGATACATTCTTGCGGGCAGCCCGTGGAGAAGAGACAAAACACGCTCCTGTTTGGTGCATGAGACAGGCAGGAAGATACTTACCAGGTAATTAAAGCAGAAAGGGTGACTTGAATTTATACAAGAGGGTGCCCAGTTTATCGCTTTCAAATAGTCACAGTGCCTGTTATTCCTAGTTATTGGCCATATTGGTTGAATTGAATGGAATTATAGGTCCCAATGATACTGTTTCTGCTGTCTAGTCCAGGGGTAGGCAACCTTGGTCTTTTATGACTCGTGGACTTCAACTCCCAGAATTCCTGAGCCAGTCATGCTGAGGGAAAGGGAGAGGTTTCTAAGCTGAGCCATGCTGGCTCAGGAATTCTGGGAGTTGAAGTCCATGAGTCATAAAAGAGCCAAGGTTGCCTACCCCTGGTCTAGTCAGTGTGTCATATCTGAGTTGTTAAAATCCAGATAGCCGTTAGATGGCAGCAAAGAGAAAAGGAACGCCACTAGTTATTTGAATTAGGGAGAGTAGATATAATAACTAGATTTTCTATACCTTGTGACTTTTTAAAAGTGATTTGTAGTATTTGGGGTGCTTCTGGTTGTTGTGCCTTCAAATCAGTGTTGATTCCAGTTGACTGCCTGGACAGTCCCTGCAGTTTTCTTGGCCAGGATTTTCAGAAGCGATTTGCCATTGCTTTTTCTCCCTAGGGCTGAGAGAGAGTGACTGGCCCCAAATTGCCCAACTGGTTTTGGGACTAAGGAGGACTTAGAACTCTCCTAATTTGTAGCCTGATACCTTAATCACTATATCAGACTGACTGTCTTGGGTTGGGTATTTTAATAAGATATATAAGCCATGAATTATGAGGTAAGAATGCAATTTCTGTCAAATGAGAAGAGGGCAAGGGAAAAAATATTCTAAAGATCAGATTCTAGGGAGAATCCTGAGACTGAATACAGGTAGTCCTCGACTTACAAGAGTTCATTTTATAAGCGTTCGATCCACGTTCGATCCACTTTCTAATTATTTTACAGAATTCCGTGAGACTCGAGCAGCTCAGGATTTCTTTGCGACCTGTCGATCACCAGAGACATGCTGTGAACTCACGCTGCAAGTATGGAGGGAGCTTTATGTTGTTCTTCAATTAAGACTGATGTTCGGGACTGAAGTTCTGTTCAGGACATCACTTAGCTCTTAAGTCTATTTTCGTTTTGTTCTTTTTCTAAAGTTATCTCTGCTCCACTTGTTTAATGTCTGTGTATCCTGAGTGTCTTTCCTCCTCCTTTGCTTCTGTTATTTATTCATCCTTCTTGCACTGATAAACTGCCTGTATTTCTTAACGTTTTCTATTAGAACTTAATTTGGAATATTTTCATTAGGTTTATTTTCATTAATCTTTATTTACCCAATGTAGTTTTGTCTTCCTTTTGGAAAACATATTAATAGCCTAAAGTTTCATTTATTTGCCTGCAAAACACTTATATACGTTGCTGACTGCTTTGGGATTTCTTTTTCCGCTTTTTAATCTTCTATTTATATAATGCTTCCTCTGTTTTCTGTCATATTGTTATAAACTTGTCAGTATTTTTTCCGTGTTTATTGTCAGACTGACAGCATTGCTTTAAACATTACTTGGGTCTGCTTTTATAATTTTCATATTGAAAAAAAATGCTCTTTTCTTGTTTTCCCACACATTAATCTTATTCTATTTTGGCCCATTGAGAGTTTTGTTTTTGACCTGAATATAATTTTAGTTTTAAAATATAAATTCTTATGTTTTTTAAAATTTAACTTTTTAATATTCACCCTTTTATAATATTTTTAAATCACTACTTTTCATGATGTTTCAATACTTTCACTGGCAACTTTGTACACTATCTTCATCAGAGCTACTTTTCAATTTTGCATTTTCAATTTTTTCCCATTAAGTTGTTGCTGTTGCTAATTATTGCCTCCCTCAATTATTTTTTATCGGTCACTTCTTCCTCCTCCTCCTCCTCTTTGTCATTAAGGGCTGTTCTTTTGGGGAGGAGGACAGGGAAATTGTGGAACATAAGAATAGGCATGAAAGATTTGATGGGGCCCAGACATATTTAACCAGAAATATTGAATCTTTCTTAAGAAAAGTGAAGAATATTGTCCAGTAGTAACTAATGCAGTACATGTATCTGTGTATGCATACATTATGGGGAGGAAGCAATAGGGCCCACTTAGTCAGTGAAGGGCAAATTTCTTGAACCAAATTACTTCTTTCTTTAGACACAAAATTGAAGAAGTCAACAAGCATCCAGCTCATTGTCCTAGGATTACCAACATTTCTAGTAGTATGACTGGAGTATATACACACAATTATTGCCACCCTCCAATAGCAATAGCAGTTAGACTTATATACTGCTTCATAGTGCTTTACAACCCTCTCTAAGCAGTTTACAGAGTCAGCATATTGCCCCCAACAATCTGGGTCCTCAATCTTGAACCCTGTCAGGATCGAATTGCTGGCAGTGGGAATGCAGAATTAGCCTGCAATACTGCATTCTAACCACTATGCCACGATGGTTCTTGTAGTGTCATATTGTAGCTCTTGAAAAGATCCTCATTAATTATCACATTTTATATAACTATATACAAGAATTTCCCCCCTGCTGAGTTAGGCATTCTTGCATTCCCTGTAAATTTCAGTCTATATTTAAAAGGGTGATGCCTCATTGGTACAATGTGACTAATATTAACAAGAGAGTATTATCAGAGGTGATGTGGATTCTGAAAAGCAGTAGAACTAGTCTATAGAGAAATTCTTTAGTGCTCGGTATATGTCTGTATGGTAGGCAAGATTGTGCCATTGATACAGCAATGCTGGATTTGTTAATTATCCAAGAAGCACTTAAAGCTGCCTCTGGAGAGGCCTACAATTACAGTTTCTTAATTTTCTTTTATATAGAAAAGCGCTCCACACAGAATGGCAGCTACTGTGCACCATAAAAAAAAATCCTAGCTCCATTTTACTTTTTCTCTGAATTTGTTCAATCAAGTTGCTTTATATTTTCACTACCATCATGAATGCTAGATTTGCCTATTTCAAATATATATGTACAAATCAAGCCTAGTTAAAAACCAAGTTTATGTGTTGTCTCCACTCTCTTTGGTTTCAGCCTCTACGACGCTTTCCTTTTGATGCTGCCATCATCTTCTCTGACATCTTGGTGGTGCCTCAGGTATGAGAAATGGCTGGGGACAAGGACATGCTGCTAATGATTTTACTTGGGAGAAGAGGACTGACGAAACTTTTACAACCAGAATGAGTTCTATCCCACATTACTTGTCTCTTTCAGGCACTGGGCATGGAAGTGGTGATGGTACCAGGAAAAGGCCCCACATTTCCAGAACCACTAAAGGAAGTAGAGGACCTGCTGAAGCTTCGTCAAAAGGTTGATGTGGCAACAGAACTGGGCTATGTCTTCCAGGCTATCACACTGACACGGCAGAGATTGGAGGGGAAGGTGCCTCTGATCGGCTTCTCTGGTGCCCCAGTAAGTTCAGTTATTTGGAAAAACATATCTTACAACAAATCCTTGCTTGCGTCTCTACACTTTTCTATTGGGTAGTATAGGAGTGTGCTATATTTCTGTGTTATTGGACATCAGGAGGGTTCTATGTCTTTAGCAACAGCATTAGATAAGTCATTAGGATGGAGAAAATGTCTTGGTTCTCAAATACTTTCAGCCTGACCTTTTATATTCTTGTTCCTTAGCCATTAACATAATACGTTGATCAGTTGGCTAGCCAACCATCTACTCCACAAAGATCTACCAAGTTTTATTTTGTGACATGTGATTTGAGCCAGATGGTTTTTTTTATCTATTGCATTTCATCCCAAAAGACTTGGTTGGACATGAAAACTAATTGTTTCACAAACTAAGTACTTTGTGGGATGGAATGTGTAACTCTCCAGAATGAGCAAAGGGCTGATACAGTTTCAGAAGAGGGCGCAGTACAATGCCAACCATGTAATCTGTTTGTAGTAGAACTGCTTCAGTGTTTCTGCAAAGTTCATGTAGTTGCAGACGCTGGCCTAGCTTTGGAAGTAGACTTTTTTTTTAATTCATATGTACTTTTCCTTTCTGCTGACTCTCATTCCTAGTGGACTTTGATGTCCTATATGATTGAAGGTGGTGGCTCCAACACAATGGCCAAAGCGAAGGCTTGGCTCTACCGGCATCCTGAGGCCAGCTGTCGTCTGCTCACTTTATTGACTGACGTTATTGTGGAATATCTGGTGAGACAGGTGGCTGCAGGTGCTCAGGTGAGTAGACCCTAAACAGCTTCTCTCCATACGTTTGTAGGCATCACAGTTCATTAAATAGATCGGTTCTTGGTTTCTGAAGGTGTACTATTCCCTTTATCTTTCTGCCGAAAAGGATTCTTCCAAGGAAGGTTAATTGAATCAATAAATCACCACTGTATCATTTAGGTTACTGTTCCTAGACCATAGCTTTTCATAAATATCCGATTGTATTTCCTCTGTTGTTTTTAAGAATAGATTTCCGGAGCTCACAAGGACAGATCGAAGCTGAATTTGATGGCATTGGACAGAGCACAACTCTGCCCCACAGCAAATGATTTATAAAGTACCAGTCACCTTCAACTTTTGAGATTTTTGATCTGGCTTTATAAGCTCCAGAAAGCTCTTTTTCTTTTCTCCCAAATTATTCTTCTTCCCAAAATGTTTCAAGAGATGACTTCTTGCAGCCAGTTCATATATATAGCCAGGACAGCAAGAATTTGCTGACTAGTCCCCTGCCCTTCTTCCAGCTGCCTGCAATTAACTATTATGATGAAACAGATCCATCCATGTAACTGACAACCATGCCAGGCTTCTTGAACATACTGGTATAGATTCTGTCTACATAAAGCTCATTCTTATATTACACCAAATATATAGGAACTGCAACCTTGTCGTCTGTATTCTTTCACTTGAGAATAGGATTAAAAACTGCAACTATCATGTGACAATCTAATCCTGGGACAAAACCTTCAAGAAAGATAAGAACAGTGAACACTACTACCTGAGGGTTTTCTCTTAAATACATTTTGGCAATTGAAACTTAGATTTGTTCCAGTTGAAGAACCCTAGAATGATATGTTCTGTGCCAGGACAGATTGGAATGAATGCATTGTACAGTGGGAGGAGGGCCTTCCAGATAAGTGGAAGGATGAGGGGGAATAGCTGTTAACCAGGAAGTGATTCCGGTTCTCTGCTTGTCTTTTTTGCCAGGCTCTGCAGATTTTTGACTCCCACGCAGGACATCTGGGGCCAGAGCAGTTTGCAGAGTTTGCCCTCCCATTCATTCGGTCTATTGCCAAGGGTGTGAAGAATAAGCTACAAGAAAATGCTCTGCCTGTGGTGCCAATGGTAAGAGATGGAGCTGCTTCCTTCTGCTTTTTTTCTGAATTATTTCCCAGAATTTACAGCAATTCTGTCCAGAATGACAGTGTTCTGTTTATTTTAAAGACAAATATCACATTTTGGGAGACCCTGAAGCTCATTTTTACCTATAGGTTTTTCTCAAGGATTGAAAAACCATTAACAGACATTTTATAGACGACATAAAGGTAGAAGAGAGGAAAAATATAGGTGATGGTAAAAAGACCTGGATCAGACCTACATAATCCAACATTCAGTTGGCCATGGAGTGCTTGCAAATTGGATACGAGTATAATTAGTTATGGGCTCCAGCAACTACTACTGAAAAATATGTAGCTTCTACTATTGCCAGAAACTTCATAGCTGCCCTGATTTAGTAAGCTTTATTCTCTTCTTTCTCTTTCTTTAGTCTCCTTTGTCAGAACTATTTCCTGACACATCAAAACAATATTAAAATACGAAGTAAGTTTCTACAATTTGGATGTTAAAGTAAAACAGTTCCCCCTCCCCCCAAACCATAACTCTGAGTAAATCTGGCATTTCAAAGATTGGTTTAATTAGTGCAGATTTTCCATAATCAGAGGTGGTGGACAATAGGCTTGCACTTCCATTACTCTTTATAGAAGCTTCTTTTTCACCCTCTCTAATGCCTAACTAGAAAAAAATGGATAATATGCAAGTGAATGTCACTCTGCATAATATTTACGCCACGAGATAATACAACTTTTCTTCATACAAAAGTTGAATTCCTGTATTACCAAGTGTTTGTAACCCTGTCCACATAATCCTATTTTTTTATATTGTCCTCCCCTCTCCACCTGCTAGATCATCTTTGCTAAGGATGCCCACTATGCATTGGAGGATTTGGCACAATCTGGGTATGATGTGGTTAGCCTGGACTGGACCATGTCTCCCCAAGAGGCTCGGTGAGAAACGGGTTGTATTCCCTTGGGAACTTTGTATGGGTGTCATCTCTTCTAATGATTTATTTCCTCAGTTTTGCAATAATAGAGTAGCTTGTCATAAAAGTCAAATCCCTCTCACACAAGTTACTTGAAAAATAAAGAGATGGTAGTTGAAGTTAAGACTAAGCAAAGATACCAATCACGGGCTGTGCATGAAATATTATACTTGCGTAGAGATGAGTTTTCTAGGACAGGTTAGGGTAACACAGCGTAACAGATAGAACGGAATGTTCTCTTGCTTTTCCTTTACGAAATCAGTTTGGTTTGGTTTATTAGAAATCCAAAGAAGGTAAGGGACCATATAGAGAAATGAGTAATTTTCTGCTTTCGCTCTGCTACTTAAGACTCTGCTACCTAACATCTTTCATCTGCTTCAGCATTTTAGCTGGAGTTAGCAGGAAGGAAGGAAGGGAGGGAGGGAGGAAGGAAGGAAGGAAGGAAGGGAGGGAGGGAGGGAGGGAGGGAGGGAGGGAGGGAGGGAGGGATTAGATAGATAGATGGATGGATGGATGGATGGATGGATGGATAGATAGATAGATAGATAGATAGATAGATAGATGATAGATAGATAGATAGATAGATAGATAGATAGATAGATAGATAGATAGATAGATAGATAGATAGATGCTGGATTTGACTGATAGCTTGCCTTTTATTCAGCTCAAGGTAGTGTAATGTGTGTAGAACTCCCTCTTCCTATTTCTCCTCCTCTCAAAAAGCTCTGTGAAGTAAATTGAGCTGAGAGTGGAATAGAATCTGGGTCTTCCTACAGATCACGGCAGCTTTTCTCTGCTTATTATTGATTTCAGTTCAAAAGACCACCTGTTTAATAGCTTCTGAGAGACACACTTTATTTTAAAATTAGCAGTTATCATTGCACGTGGAGGCAATGAAGTCCAACAAGCAATTTTATCTCGGTTAAGTGCCTTTCTCCTACTTCGATTTTTTTTTCCCGATTCAGCCAGCGGACAGGAAGAAATGTTACCTTACAAGGGAATTTAGATCCATGTGCTCTCTATGCATCCAAGGTAAGGAAACATGCATTGACTTGTAACAATTGGGTTATACTCATTTCCGCAGCTAGTGGCTTCTTACATAAATTCATTTGCTGTCTAGCTGGGTTCTATGGAACTTGAATGGGTTCTATGGGACAAAGGAAAAAAAACTCTACAAGGTATTAAAGGGAAAAAAATTCCCTTGCAGAGAATTTTATCTTAGTCCCTTGTAGAGAGGAGGGAAAAAAAATTTAGTGACAAAAAAATATCTTTAGAAATGTGACTATGGCTTTTTTCCCCCCTCCGCCCTTAATGGAACAAGGTTTTTTTTCCTCTTAGCCACTAAGGAACAGTGTAACTGACATTGATAAGTCCCCGCTCTCTTGATTAGGGGTTTTGGGACTTTTTTTATTTTTAAAATCGGTTCTGCGGCTTGAAATAGTTTGAAAACTCATGTTCTTGTCTTTTTTTTTTTTTTGTAAAAAGAAACAAGTAACCAAGGCCTTTCATTGACAGAGTTCAGTTACGGAGTAAAAATAATTTTCAAACTCTAAAACCTGCTTATAGGTTAACAAAGGTCAAAGTGCTGTTACCAACAACTGTTTTTCTCTGCTGTGGATCAAGTGAGCAATCAAGGACTTCAAGCCATGCTTTTGTTATGGAAACACAAAAGTTGGCTTGAAGGCACCGGCTTTCTTTTTCACTTATGTAACCCATTCAGATTTTTGCATAGTGTGAGCAAAATGTGGTTATTTCTAATTCAGATTGCTTCCAAGCGTAGATTGGTCATAAACTATAGTCAAGTCTTAACCATTTGTCTAATGTGACAGCAAGCTAGGCAAAAGAGCAAAAGAATTATGCTAGGCCATGTCTACCCAGTTCCCCAATAATTTTGAAGATTGAGAATGTGATGTAAAAGAGCCGAGGTGGCGCAATGGTTAGAATGCAGCATTGCAGGCTGACTCTGCCCACAACCTGGAGTTCGATACTGAAGGAGTTTGACTCAGCCTTCCATCCTTCCCAGGTCGGTAAAATGACAGCCCAGATTGTTGGGGCCAATATGCTGATTCTATAAACCATTTAGAGAAGGCTGTAAAGCACTGTGACGCAGTATATAACTCTAAATCTGCGGTTCTCAACCTATGGGTCGCGACCCCATTTGGGGTCGATCGACCATTTCACGGGGGTCGCCAAGCAAGGCTGTCCGCCATTTTTTTCCCCTTTTCCGGCGGGTGCCTTACCTCCCTTGAGCTGGGCCAGCTGGTGGTCGGCCTGCTCCGTCTCTGCCGCTTGCCAGCTACGCCTCGGCTGGCGCAGGGGGCGGAACCACGCATGCGCGGCGCTCCCG